TCATTAAAGAAGGTCACTTTGGAATCAAAAGCACTATTAAACCCACCTGTTGCAGTGTAAATATGGCATACTCCATAAATCCTATTCATCTCCAATTTTCTACACATCACCTTCTCTTTCTGTAATGGATAAACCACTTTAGTAATAGCAGAACTAATCCTCCTCCATTCTAGAATGACACCGGGCAGTGGATGAAATGCTTTCAACTTTTCAAGAATATCCTTGCAAGTGCTAAATTGTTTAGGTAATCTATGGCGCCCTCTACCAGTAGTTCCAAGAGTTCTTTTGTTTTGAAGAGTTTGAGCTGATGCTGGGTCTCCATTGGGAGGTAGTCTCAATTCTATGTACAAAACCTATTGATGAGAGGATCAGTATATTAGTTATGTTAGAGATGCAGTGCAGAACCATGGTGTTATTTCAAACAACAAATAAGTATATTCTGTCTAAAGTTAACACTGTAAGCCCTAGGGTGAAATCTGCAATGCATCTAAACCATACACCAAAATTACTTTTTGGTTTGAAGTAACTAAAAAATATCAGCTCATATGTTTCAGGCATAAAGATAATACAGCCGGTCACTGGTAGCATAGTGGTTGTCGCTCCAGACTCATGAACGGTAGACCCAAGTTCAAATCCTACCTTAGGCTGAATATCAAAGGGTCAACCCCTACCCTGGGTGAGTGTGCCATAGACTCAATGGGAAGGCCAATTCCACTGGCCGAGATTCATTCACTAACGAATGCGACTTTGGGGGTCCGCTTGTGTTCGACCGAGCCTGGTTGACGCCAGGATAGCGCATTACAAATTGCCATTTGACAGAGAGATGGCCACACAGCCCTGTCATGTAGTCCCAAACATGAATATGACTTCTGTGGCAAAATGCACTATGTGTCAGCACTAGCACTTGCAATTTGCTCATACAAAAAAAAGTCAGGAGAGACAACAGTGACATTCAATGTCCAGAACTGTCACCTGGCACAAAAATATTTAAAAAAAAAAAAAAAAAATGATACAGTTTTACTGCAATATATTTTCTTAATTTCTTCTTTATAGAGTTTCTACTACCGTACTAGCTCTTGTGAGTCAAAAAAGAAAATAGAAATTTGAGTGAGTCAATTTAGACCTCTACTATACATACATGTAGCAACGCAATGTGTGTAGCAAAATTCTTTGTTTGTCAATCGTTGGGTGAGAATAGAATAGTATCATCGGTTAACGATTTTTAGCGGTTAATTAAATCAAGAAATTCAAAATATTTATTTTCACAATTATGATATGCATTGTTGCTACCAAATTGTGAACCATGTTTTTTTTTTATGTTAAAAAATATGTTTGGTTGCGTCATTGCATCAGTGACAAGTCAAAATCGCTTAGAGAAAAGACCTCTGTCATCAGCCGTGAAAAAATGTTCCATTTTTATGGATTATACTGGTAGCATATCAGTAGTAGAGGATGTCGCAATGAAGCAGCTTGCCTGATTTGCTGTTCTTGTTCTAAGTACAGTGAGAGAAACCTCATCACAGAGGGGTCCAGATCGCAATGTAAATGACTGACACTCTCTTGAAAAAGTAAACTTACCCGTGCAATATCCTCGGTTGAAGTGAGAGAGAAACTGTGATTCGCTAGCTGATAAGCTTCTGCTTCCAAAGCACTGAGTTTCGCAAGCATAATGGCTTTCTGATTTTCACTTTCTGTTTCACTAAATCCAATCCCATTCAGTTCCATTTTTGCAAGCGTCATTAAAGATGGCATTTCAACCTGAAAAATAAGCATTTTGCAGGTATTATAAGTCATGAT